CATTTTGTCAACGAAATTATGTCAGCCACGAAAATTAAAAACCCACACATTGACAACGAATAAGCAAAATTCCAATATAAATGAGGATCTTACCTGTCTGGTTGTGTATTCCAGCAGCACTTGTCCCTTGACTGGAATCACCAGTTGCCATATTTCTCTACATCTGCCTGCTTACAAGTTCAAGAGATTTGCTTTCCTACAGGAAGTTGCCGCACGCTATCTTTTTTTCTTATTATTATAGTATTCTCTGTTAAAAATGGTCTCATTTCGCTTTGATTAAACAACAGATTAAATTATACTGCAGCAATGTGTATTTTTATTATTGCGTGTGACTGTCTGTGAGGGATGAAGTAAAAGCAAAATAATAGATTAAAAAAAGATATGTAATCTCTGGTGCTGCAGGTATGAATACACTTGTGACCTCGGGAAAGGCAAGGGAAAGAATCATCATTTGCCGGGTAACCTTTGATCTAATAAAATTATATGAAAAATATATCTATATCTATATCTTCACATGCAATCTAACAGTAGGGCATATCGGAGTAGTTTCTAGTATATCCGTTACGTATACATTAATTATATCTTATTAATAGTGTTGAAAGGGTACCTGGGATTTTTCCTTGTTTTAACATGTTTACCCCACAGGAATGCAGTCTATGGGATTACCATCAGTATCAGTAAGGAGTAGTTATCAAAACCAGGCAAAGAGCACACAAACATTCATGGGATTTCGGATAATCACTATGCAGAATACAGTAGGCAAGCTGTTAAAAAAGATCATCGCCAGAAAAAAATTCACACCAGCTTGAGAGGCGAGGTCTTCTTCCCCACTGCCCTCGGAGGGTACCGTCCAAAGAAATAAAGATAGACCAATGCTGCGGTTTTTTCCCTCATGTGTATGAAGACTTCCACTTAGGTATTGAAACATGTGCTGCGGCAATTGATCTCGAGGATGCGTACAACAGAGTACCTTTGGATTTCTCAATGTTTCAGCTTCTTGAACTCCAAATAAGTCCATTCTTGCTTCATTAGACCTATTCTAATCTCTTCCAACGAAAAGTAGTGTTTAGATGTGGCAGTTGGACTTCTGAACCAACAACAATAAATCCCGGCCTGCCACAAGGATCGCCATTATCTCATGTGTTGTTCAAAGTTTACAGTGAGAAACACAGGCGAGCAAATCACAGGACCCGGAAGAACACTGTCATATGCTGACGATGTGTTAGTGTATCGTCAGGGTAAGGGTAGAGAAATGGTTGCTGAAGAACTACAAAAAGAGCTCAACCGCATAAGCACTTGGCGTGGTGAAACTGGTTCACTGGTCAACCCAACGATTTCGGCAGTGACATGGTTCTCTTTGAATAACCATATTAGGAAAACTCCAACACCCGCTGTTAGTCTGTGTTCTGAGGTTGTGGAAAGAACGTATAAAATTAAATACCTGGGGATATCGTTTTATCGAAGCATTGCATATAAAAAGCACTTCTATAAGATTATAATGAAAGTCAAGTGTGGTCTGGCTGCGATGAGTGTGAGCAGCGTCATCTATGTCTTCAATACCAGAGTCTGGTCCTTTCTGTTGCTAATACAATCTTCTCTTAGCCATAAGTAGAAGGAAAGGATGGAAAAGGCTATTCGCATTATACTTGGGTGTACGAGAGATACAGCATGCAGGACGATGCACTACCTTTTTGATTCTCCAACCATTGAAGATGGAATACAAATTTCCCAAAAACATGCCTCCCTCACAGTCAACGTGGACACACAACATCAGTTGCATAGTGAAGTTAAGAAGACAAAAGGCAGCAGGTTAAAAAGAGGAAAATCGAGGATGGATCAAGCCGATGAATCATTTTACACGTATGTTCGCTTGAGGACATAGAACCTGGCGAGGAGTGGTTGCAAGTTCTTTCAGAGCGCTGTACATCCTCTTCTGTTTGCATCCAACTAGACATGGAGATGTCAGTACCGCGTACCATCAGGAGCGGTTTCGGGTTCCCATTATGCTGAAAGAAAAAAAAAAGGAGGGGGTTGGGGGTTGGTCCTCTGCCTCCTTAAAGTGCATGTCGTACAAGACGACAAATTAGGGGAGTTTCCTACGAAGTCGGGGTACCTCTTTTCTGAGAGGATATGAACCAGCAATCTGCATACAAATAAGCTAGATCTGTATAAAACAGATGTGTACGCAAAACGCAAGTTCTGGATTAAGACCAAAGTCCAGAAATAGACGAACAAACAGAACTTTCTGCAGGAATTTGCTGCCAGTGAAAAGTTAGTTGCGTATCCTTTACAGGACGTTGCAGAACCGACCAAAGCATGTGGGGTGGGGGGGGGGAGGATTTTGGTTTCTAGGCAAATTCTACGTTCAGCAGTTTGACATTACTCCTTGAACGGTCAGCTCTCGGTACCACCGTCGAAACCAACGCAAGACAAATCTTCCGCAGCTGGGATAAACTCCAACCCAGTGTCTAAAAAAGCACACCCTCCTAAGGTGGGCACAATAAATATTAATTGAAATCATATACGAAAGGTTGGGGTGGGGTGGGGTGGGGATTGGATCACCCCATAGAGATTTCAGAAATGTCCTAAGGTGTATATGCTAAATGTTTCCTTAACACCCTGGTTATACACACGCCGTTCTCTTCCACTCGAGTTGGAGGAGAAAAGGCTGGAATGTAAGTTGATGAATACAGCAGTAGATACGGCAAGAATACACTAAGTGGAACGTACATTAACATAAAAAATACACCCTAATATAATATAGAAGCGCCTTAAAACTACATGCTGATATTTTCTTGTGAGGAAAAATTTAAAAAAAAAGCAAAGGACACAATTTGTACGTATGTATAGATTTGCCATTAAATCTAACAAACACAATAATAAGTTATAGTTATTGTGACACTGCAAAATGATAATTCGATTTATCATGTTTAAGCACAGCCTTCTCTATTTATTAGAGAAGGCGTTGGTTTAAGTCTCTTGTCTATACGCTTTAATGTTTTCTTACTGCTAAAAACTGGCAAACAACTAATCGCACTAATATGACTAACTTGTAGTACTACCATTTGGATGTAAGTTAAAGTAATGTAGACAGTCTGTAAACATCGGTAAGGAGAAGGTAGTTCTTGAGTTCTTACTATTATAACACTCGCAATAATTCGCCTATGCACTCTGGGTGTTGTGTGAACATCTCTTTTACAGATCTGACTTATTTATGTTATTTATGCATGTAAATGTAATAATGTGACGTTCACGTGATTGCCTACCTACCTCTCAAACATATCATAATCATATTTTATTAATTAATCAAGCAACAGAAAGTGAAAGTGTATACTGTATTGATCATCACTAATAGAAAGAAGTAGATAGAAGTATTAGAAGAACACACTAGACAACATACAATTCGAAAGCTATAGTTACCGTGCCAAGCATATGTACGGCACAGCACTCCAACTTCGGACGGAAGGACACAGACTCCAAACATTCCATTGTCAGTATTCATTCATATTTACGTTGGTCAGACCCCCTGTTGGGAACCTGTTTTAGGATGACCGTGAAGAGATCTAGATAGGTTTTAACCCGTATATGAGAATAACTTATATGATCTGATTCTGGTGCACAACCACGCGTGGTTCCCGTTTCAAATCCAGCTGCGACTTGCCACAGCCCACGGCCAGTGTTCGAGACCGGGCGGTTCCCGGGGTTCACCCAGCCTCTAGGAAATGGGTAGCAGAGTTAACACTTTAGGCTAAATCATAAATGGAGGAACGTTGCTGTCTTATCAGCCGTCCATACTGGTGGCAGAGCACTTATGGTTTATAACCGTGTGCAATGATGCTAGTTCACATCTCCTGACTTTACCTTATTTTTTTAGCGTAAAGCATCTTTGGCAGTTTCCTTTTCCAAGATTCAGAATCACAATTTCTAGTACTCTTTGGCTCTGCTTTTGTACATATGTGTGTCAGCTTCGTTTGGCTTAACTGGTGTGAATGCAGCTTGTAACTCTAAGATACCAGGTTCCATTCCACATGTGGCACTTTGACAGCAGACCGTTTTGTGTTGATTTTGAAAAGGGTATCAAGAGCTGACCGTTTAGTTAGTTGACTATGACAAAATACTGAGTGTAAGATTTTGCGGCTCTCCTCCGAATAACAGTCCTAAATGATCGAGTCTGAGATAATACCCTAACATGTCTCAGTTGTGTGTAAAATTAGGATTTCTTGCCAGCGAATACACCAGGGGCGGACGGCAAAAGGCGTGATTAGCCCCACCTTTATAACATAACGTTGCGCCCACGTCAGCTCCATTTACAACCCGTCAAACTTTAGTGTTGCGGTTGAACTGTTGTAACAGATTCTCATGGTGGCATCGTAATTGTAATACTTGTTGCCCTAACCCTAATTCTAAAGCAAGGACCCAGGGAGAGAAGTTAAACCTAGGACCTGGGTGAGCAGTTAAACCTAAGACGCAGGTGAGAAGTTAAACCTAGGACCCAGGTGAGAAGTTAAATCTAGGACCCAGGGGAGAAGTTAAACCTAGGACCCAGTATCGGAGCTGATGGTCTGCCTGACATGGTGATAAGTTTGTGATAATTTTTGAGTTTTGTGAAGTTATCACCATAAATTAATCCTACTTTTGCTGCAGTGTACTTGCCACAATTTACGTATCAGTGAGACCCTGTTAGGGTATTTTCTCAGCCTTGATAATTTAGAATTTAATTGCTGGTGTTCTGCAACTGCCTGTGAAGGATAACTCATAAGCAACTATCTTTCTTTTTATACATATAGTAAAGATATAAAATCAAATGCATCATTCCCAGTTTTCAATATTTAGTCTTCATAGGTCTAATTTAGGCTCTAAAAATTATTTTCTTTGCTTGTCAACATTAATTTTGGTGGACTTTTGAATTACTTTAGCTTGTTGTAGTTTTGTAATTATTATTAATTACTAATATTATTATATTTTTATATTTGCACACAGAAACATCAGTGTGCATCTTAATGTCAGCAATGGAAAATTATACAAAAGGAGAATCCAGGACTATTTATGATCCGCCAAAACTCCAGATGGAGGGAGCTGTTGAAATGAAAGTGACCAATGGAAGCAAAATCCGCAACATTATGGGGTTTGCTCTCTCATCCATGACCGTAAGAATTTCTTAATTCTAGTTTATATGGTTTTAATTTTTTCTATGTTAGAATTAATGGGCTCTCCTGTAAACTACGGCCAGTAGACAACAGTACACGGTCGATTAGTCGGAGTTCTGTCCCTTGGCTACAGTGCAATTACGGAGTGGAAAAGGAGGGAACGAAACAATTGACACAATTACTGTGTGTTGGCGATAGACAGTGTGCACTGCCTTGCTAAAATCATACGGTTATGGTTTGGGTTAGGGTTAGGGTTAGGGTTATGCTCAGCTAGCCACCGCAACCACGCAAGCTTATCGCTCATTAAGGCATACAGATCCGGAGGTGTCACATCTACGGCCACTACGTCTTGCGTCGCAAGAACGTGGTCGCTAATGTGAGTCGCGGCACGTGGTCTAGGTCTAGCAGCCATGTCGATGTCACTTTGTGTTGTGATTCGTGCCTTTTCCACTCCGTAATTGCACTGTAGCCAAGGGACAGAACTCAGACTAACCGGCCGTCTACTGTTGTCTACTGGCCGTAGTTGACAGGAGAGCCAAATAATGAATACATTTAAAATTGGTCACCACTGGACATTTCATCAAATAATGATATGCTTTGTTTCACTTCCATTGCCAGGGAAGACTTTTCTGCTTTTGGTGAAATGGAGTTACTAATGAAAGCATAATCTGCAACATTCCAAGGTTTTCTGTCTTGTGCATGACCATAAGATCTTTGTAAAACCATTTTTGTACCATTGTTAAAGACACTTACGGATCTCTTGCGATGATGGTCCTCACTAATCATTTAAAATCAATTTATATAGTTGACGTTTCTGAGTGTCTATGTTAAGAATGAATTAATAAATGAAGAACTGACATCACATCGCCACACTCTAGAAATTCCGTTGCCGTTAGGGAATTTCCAAAGTGCGGTGATGTGATGTCAGTTCTGATTAGATAAAAACTAATGGTAGTGGTAACGTTAGTTTCAGCTTCATAGCAAACGAGTCACCCCATAATTGCTCCGCTGCTGTGCCAATGGAAAACACACAGAATGTTCATCACAGTCCTTTGTTGAAAGATTGAAAAACTGCTGACACAGCATATGAGGTAGCATACACACGCATTAAAAGCATATGGTAGCCATCAGAAGTGCTAACACAAACAATCCGATATTAAAAATGAATGATTACGTGCAGTGTCTCATTCTTCAGAAGCCAGTGAACAATTTCTTTGTTGACTGTGCCAGTTGCAGTTTGAATGTCTTTTTCCACTGCATGCTGAGTTCTTTGAGACTCGTTCCAACTGAGTAAACCGTGAAAGGTTGGATACTCTATCTGTTCTGCTGCACTGTAACCTGATCAAACTATGCCATAAGGTGTATTAATGAACCCTTAGATTGATTGTAGCCTGTCGCCAAAATGTAGCCTGTTGTCTTTTCCTAGTGCTTATATTGTTTGCTTCAGATCAACAAACCTTTCCAATGTAGGTTACCTTGACACCTTAATACTAACTGATCACACTTAAAGTTTGTTTCTGTAAAAACAATTATCTTTAATTTTTATCATTTTCCACATACTTTTCAGAATTTTTAGTTCAAATTAAGACTATTTTTTTCTACAACAGCATAAAAGTAAATGATCTCTCTCACATCATTGGCACATTGTACATAAGGTGCCAGCCCCATAAGTTTATATAGCCACTTTTACTTTCGTGCCAATTTCCTGGTACGGTTTTAGGTTAGGCCGACATGGGATCAGATCGGAGACATATTAGACCACTGTTAATAATAAGGCGCAATTCTATTATGATGAATAATTGTGTGGACAGCTGTTAATAATTAGGCGCATTTCTATTAATATAGAATCAATCTGCTGGTGTCATAGCATGTCAGTGTGTTAAGTATAAACACAAGTCTGATGCTTCTTACCATGTCATTTAATTCCAATATTTAAGACATTTTTTCATAAACTTATCCTTGAACTGATAACTGAGTGACTTTCCATTGCCTTCGATATCTGCCTGTATAGTTTGTGTCCTCTGCCTTTGATGCACCAGTTTCTGTCAATTGGGATACATAAGTGCGCTGATTGGCTCAATTGCTTACCGTCAAAACTTGAACAGTCCTATAATAACAAATAAAAAAGTGACAACACGTGAGATGAGATTTATCAGAAATTTGTCGGGATAAACAAAAAGAGATAGTCACCAATAAAGAACTAAGAACTACTGTTACTGCCTAGTACTGGTAAATGATTCCATAGAACATAAAGAATCAAATTGTTTGGTCAGAATGGTACAAAATCAGCCAGCAGTTAGAGCCGCGTACTACTTGAGAACAGCAGGCTACAGGGCAAGAGGGTGACCAAGAAAGAGATGGGTGGAGTAAAAAAGACACTATGGAAACACAATATAACATTAACACAAGCTGTTAAACTAGCAAAAGACAGCAAACTACAGTTAACTCCTCTCTGCAATGCTTTGTGGCATAAGCAGTATAACAGAAGCAGAAAGTAAAATAACCATTTCTGGGACAAAGTACATAGTAGGCATATGGTACTCATTGTCAGTAATGGCGGCAGTCTTTCTGTAGCCAGTTCTCCAGCCCTGTTTGCTTTCATAGCCACTGTATCTTTATTGTCTTATATCCACCTTTATGGAGGCCTGCCTCCGCCTCATTTTCCGCGGCATATGGTGCTAGCCCTATTTTTTAGACCAATCAGCACTACATGGATGATGCGGTAAATACATTGCAGATTACTTTTACATCGCAGCGGTTAAGGAGGGTTAACATGAGTCTGGCTGGTTAATCTCATAGAGAACTTTAGCTGCTAATGAAACCAATCTTGGACAAAACAGCTAAAGCTTTGGCATGAGTTGGTAGTAGGTCTGTGTTTAACTCGTATATAAAAGACAGAAGAAGGATATTGTAAATTCAGTTTAATTTAAGACATTTAAAAACTTGTCTATCTTCTAAAGAGATTGGTACAAAGTGTGTCGTGGGGGGTGAGGAAGGGGGGAGTCTGAACTAGGGGTTCTTGCTGACACCCAACACCCCGTTGAAATGCAATCAAACTGGTACCATCAGAGTTGGAACTCACTGCTGAAGATAGCAACAGGGCACTTATGGGAATGTCCTCAATGCTGTAATGTTGGTTCTTAACTTAATTCAGAACTGCTGTTTCAGATGATTAACCTGTATTTGAATAATAATTGACATTTTATTTCATTTCTTTTAGAACAGTAATGTCCGTCACATGACTTGGAATGGAACTGGAAATGCTATCAATAAAACTATTTCTTGTGTGGAGATAATGAAGAGAAAAATTAAGGTAACATCAATAAAAAATATGTGTAGTTGTTGACAAAGTGACATTGGTAAAAATTGTTCACTTGTTTCTGTAATTTATGATGAGTCTTTTTCATAGTCAGCGGTTTGGGCAAATGCTGATTTGTATTCATCTTTGACATTGTTTAGGCAAAAATATAGTTATTAGACAATTTAGTAGCTTGAGGAATGTTGTCTAATTTTGACTCAGAAACAGTGCAAAAAAATTCCCTCTTTATTCATGGGGGAGTTGCCGTGGCTTAGCGGCTTTACGCTAACCTGCGGATTGGAAGGTCGTGGGTTCACTCCCTGGCGGAGCCGGACTCTTATAAAAAGATGACATTGGCTCCCAGGTTGACCAAGCCTTGGGTGGGTATCGGGTGCAGTCCTGGGAATTAAAGGCGGCTGGTCTGATGGTGACCACGTCACCCACCTTGTGCTGATTGGTCTATAAAAATATCAGTCTAGCCATTTATGCCCTATATGCCTGAAGGTGTCGGCAAAAGGTCTTTTACTTTACTTTACTTTATTCCTGGGTGATGATGGAAAAAAGGAAGACTTATAAATGTCATATACATTAATATTCCCTCGATAATTGTAACTCACACAGGCTAGACATAATAAATTGCTAATGAACTCATTTGCATCAATTTGTATTTTTAAAGGAAGAAACAGTGGTGTAGTTTCTATGTATGTGTTGTGTGTAATGAATTATTTGATGCTGCAGTGTTTTAGCAGAAATTTGTGGCAGTTCTTTTAAGCAGACTGGTTTGGGGTAAATATAACTATCTTTTCCTGTCTATTACATAAAACCAGACTTCTGGTTTATATGGCGAGGCAAGGGGATGTTTATTTTTTGGCCAGCATCTAACGGATCAGTTTCGGACATCCTAGAATGAAAGTTGTGTTAAACTAGTCTAAATGTGAAAGTCTAGTTAAAGTGTGACCTTCTAGGAAGTTTGAAAACACTGTGTGGTCTAGTAAACCGACAGTGGTTTATTGAGTGCTTGTAGAAAGGTAATCTCACGAAATGACTAATGTTCTATAGATACAACAGTAATAGATCTAGAGGTCGACTCCGCAGAATAAGGACTGCCATCATTATGTGCCAGAGGTGCGAATGCCGGTCATTATCACACAGTTGTATCAAACTCCTGAAGACAACAATTGTTACTCTAGTGCAGGGCTTTAATTTTTGGTGGTACGCAATGGTATGAAATACTGGCACCTTTTATAAGGCATTCTTGTTTTTCTTTTTTCCTGGTGCTACTGTATTAGACACTTTGTGGTGAAGACCGCCATCTTTTATTAGATGTTTTAAAGTAACATCCCAGCAATCTTTTTGAATTTCTAAAGAGAAAAGCCCCGCTGCAGTGTAAAGAAATCTTGTGATAGACATTGTGCTTAAGTAGTGACTTTCTGGAACTAAAAGTATTGAGACACCAGTCTCTCAAGTCAGGGTACATGGGTTCTTCCTTTTTGGTCCTCAAAATGGATATCTGAGGCCTTACAGTGGGTTAGTCACAGTTACGATGGTTTAGACATGCATGCCACTATGGCAAGCATGGGAGGCCAGAAACGAAGGTGACCAAGGGCTCTCTGGGAAGACAACATCTGACAGAGGACTGGAATGGAACAAAGCCAAAAAGGATCAAATAAGTAAGGTATGGTGCATTGTGGTTTGAAGATAGGTTGCGATATTTGTGCCTTTCAGGCCAACATATCTGATTTTATCAGTGACAAAAGACTCATCGACACATCTTGTTTTCTAAGGTTTCCCACGGATCCTATACTTTCAATAGTTACAACAATAAAAAAAAAAGTAGGTCTGTATCTGACCAACACATTGGGTTTCATCACATGCTTATTAGGAGGTTAGTAGATCTGTTCTTCTTTCTTTCCATAAAATGAGAACCTGGAATTCACACAGGGAGTATGGATTCTAAATCCCAACATAACTAAAGGATTTTGTTATCAACCAGGAAGCTGTGTTCTGTTTGTTAACTGCCTGTTGCAAGCTTATCTTTTCCCAAGTTTTTCAAATCTGTTATCTCTCATCAAAGGCCTTGCAATAAACCTCAGTGTTGTTGCAAAATGCTGTTTTGCTTTAGTGCCACATTTGCAGATTTGTCTGTAAAAAAAATTGTGTCATGCTGATATTTTTTTTCAATGTTAAAATTGCAGGGTTTGCACCAGATTACACAAGTTGGTTTTCTCAGAGTTGAAGATTTATGGGAACCAACATTAGAGGGCCTTGACACGTAAGTTTCATTGTGAACCAGCTTGTTGATTTGCTGTTCAGTGTTGAGCTAAGAACTGACCTTGCAGTGCTTAGGATATTCATTCCTGTGAGCACTATGTCCTCACCTTCAGCAGCCAGCAAAGATTTCTAATGCTGATGGTGCCAGAAGCAGTTGGATTATATGTCAGTTTTGCCTTTTCTCTGAGTGGAGAGTGCTGGTCATTTGTTAAACACCTGTACACAGTCATGACCTCAGATAGAAGGCACAACTGTTGAAATCATGAAATATTGAAAGGAGCTGCAGCAGTGCAGGCCTTGGGTGCTTGCCCACTAGCCCAGAAGTCTTGGATTTGAATCAACAAAAGGGCAGATTTTTATAACTGACCTGAGCTCCAAACCTAAAATGGATTCAATTAAATATTCTAGGATGCAAAGGTGCACAACTGTTGAAATCATGAAATATTGAAAGGAGCTGCAGCAGTGCAGGCCTTGGGTGCTTGCCCACTAGCCCAGAAGTCTTGGATTTGAATCAACAAAAGGGCAGATTTTTATAACTGACCTGAGCTCCAAACCTAAAATGGATTCAATTAAATATTCTAGGATGCAAAGGTGGCCAGTGTAATATTGACTTCATCACCATCTAGTGCCAATTGGTCTGTAAAATGTGGGCCTAAGAGAGCATGTACCAGATGCACCAGTAGCATGAAAGGGTCATTTAATAGCAGAAAGCAATTATAAATTGCATTCTTTGAATAAAAACAACTGCAGGTTACATGATTGCAAATTAAGGTTCTCCGCTTGGTTTCGGAACCTGGTTTTGGGTTAAAACAAGAATAGACTTTTTGGCTTCCTAACATGGATGTCACACACAGTCCCTAATAAAGGGTGTGTCCCTTGAAGTTAGAACGCATCTGCCTGAGAGGCTAGGAGCCAGCAGTCTGCACACAGATATGACCGTGCCCTGGTCCTGTGCATTAATCACCATGTGTGGTTCAGCACCTCTCCATCCCATGTGACAGTTATGTTGGCTTTTTTTTGGCCTGTAGACAGAATACCATTGAAGATTGACAGAACTGCCATGATCCTGGTAGGGTTATACATCGGGTGAATGTGGGACTGCTAGCAAAGCACTAAACATGTGACTGTCATGGTCTGCACAGAAGCTACCTGAATTGCGGAAGGGAAGGGGAACCAGATCAGGTTGTCAGCAGGCTGAGGGCAGTCGTCAATCAAACATCCTAGCGGACGGTCTGCCCTTCAGTGTGATTGTATCCCATTGTAGCTGTCCCGCAGTTCACATGGGTTCTGTGCACACCATGCCAGTCATATTTTTAGTTCTTTACTAGATGTCCCACATTCGCCTTAACCCCCCCCCCCCCCCCCCCCATCATGACTAGAACTTTGGAGGTTGGTTTATGCATCAAAATTAAACATTTGGGATCTCCCTTGCAAAGGGATTCAGGGTTTCTGAAAGTTATGGGTTTGGTTTCTGGATCTGTGGTAGGGGTCACAAGTGAGGATGTTGTATCTGGAGCTGTGATGTGTTGTTTTGTTCATTACTCACTGTGCAGTCAGTGACTTTGTAGAATGAGAGTAAGCCATATAAAATAATACCTGGTGAAGTGATGTCCATCTTTTTGCTTGAAACACTTATTTTTATTTCTTTTATTTAGATTGTGTTTTTTCCCCCTTCAAATTGTAAACACACTTAAATCGTTACAATTTTAAGCTTGGAAGAGTTGGAAATGCAGAACGTAGTTGTAGTAGGAACACTCACTCCTTAGTCACTTATCAGCAAGACCTTTTTATGTCAACATGCATATGTCTGCTTCACATCAAAAAGGATCCGGAGTAAGGATCATCACTTAGACAAACTTTAGCCTGTATTCTCAGTGGATACCGCTTGGACATGACTTTTACTTTTTCCCTCAGCCCAGAAAACTCTTGCAGCATGCTCATTAATAGTATGAATGCCTTACAGAAAACAAATTTTTATGTTACTAACACCACAGACTGCCAATGGCCCGGGACAGTGCACACAGAAAACCCTGTCTTCCTTCTGCCATTCATTCCCTAATTAAGTAGAGACCCTCAGCCAGCTCATGCCAGGTCATCCTGTTAGCAGCAGACTTCAGCACTTACCTACTCAAATAACTTGAAGGAGCTAGTACTTATTTCAGACTAACGGAAAATTGCTCCTTTATCCCTGATATATCCTACATTTTATTGGTTTATGCAATTATAAGATGTCACAAAGCTAAATCTTCTGTGTTTATTCAAAGTTGTAATTATGTTGCGCTCATTTACAGTATAGCTGCAGTATTTGTGCCTTTTGGCCAACACATCAAAATTTTGCAAACATTTGTTGACAGGGTTAGCCTTCCCGATTGTACATATTTTATAATCTTCAACTTGATTTTTCTTACCAAAATATGTTGGTCAGTAAATACAACAGCAAATCAGAAAGCTCTAACAGCCTACAAGAATGATCTGAATATTTTATGAACCCTGTCACTTGGGACACAATTCTAGAAGAGTCAGAGGTCGCCCAGGCAGTAGATAGATGGAATATATGAGGCTGTGAATATCAACATCGATGTAACACACACCAAGACTTGTACCAGAGGTTTCTTCAGAACCTTAAGCTAAAAGGCAAACAGGGACTAACAAAAAGAAGAATTTATTCAGACTGTTAGTGTCTTATTCGTTTTGCTTTGGCAGTTCTCTTAAAACTGAAGTCTATGTGTTGTACTATATTCGCATCATCATCTTAGAATATGCATGCATAAAATGAGTGAAACTGTTCAAATTGCACACAAGAATACCTAAGGGCTAGCTATTCACTTGAATTCTTCATTTGGGTCATCGTTAGTTTTTAGGCATACAAGCTTTTCTGTCAACTAATTTAAAAAAAAACAAAAGGTTTTTATTAATGCTGTTTTGCCTAGCCAGATTGAAGTCTGTCAAGAATCTATTCTCATCGTCTCTTACTTCTTTTTCACATTTCTCTAATTATCTTCTTCTTCTTAGCGTTCACTAGCTGTAAACTCTGGTAGAAAGTTCTGGGTGTTCATCCACTTCTGGACAGCAGTCCTGTTCCAGAACTTGAGTGTTGCGTGTACATCCGTTTGACAGATCTGACTCATGTGTATGGACACTGCTCGTTTCTTGCCTCTCAGGCAGATGCACTCCGACTTCAAAGGAAGCTCCCAATTAGTCGACTCTTACAACATGCTTTTGGGTAGGCAGTGGGTCTGTTCTTGTTTTCCCTATAATAAGGCCCCGGAAACCACATGGGGAGCATCTCTAATTACGAAGTCATGTTAACATTAAAAAAAAAAAGAATCTTGTAACATACCTAAAAAAAAAATATTGACCACCCTTATTGTAAAGTATCAATTTATTATGGAAATGTGCAATAATGTGAAAACATTCTATGTTTATCCTAGGTTGAAGGTGAACACAAATATCCCAGCCATATCTATTCTTCTGTCCAAAGATCCATTAGATTTGTCCAATCCAAGGTAAGGAAGTTTAATAAAGACCCATTAGATTTGTAAGATCCAAGGTAAGGAAGCTAACTAATAAAGAACTGTTAGATTTGTCAAATCCAAGGTAAGAAAGTTAACTAATAAAGATCCATTAGATGCGTCCAATCCAAGGTAAGGAAGTTAACTAATAAAGATCCATTAGATTTAGGAAGCTAACTAATAAAGATCTATTAGATTCAGCTAAGCTAAGGGAGTTAACTAGAGAAAATCCGTTACAGTTCAACAGACATGGGGTATCTAGGTTAACTGTAGAATAAACATAAGTGCAACTAATCCAGAGTTTAAAAAACCCAGTTAAGATACTGAATTTTTTTTAAACATTTAACCGATCTAAGGTGAAGAAGTTAACTAGTGAAGATTAATTAAATTCAGCTAATTGAAGGTAATGAAGTTAACTAGTTGGGAAAGTTGTATGTTTTTTTTTTAAAATCACTTGTCAGAAGTTTTATACTAGCTTACCGACCCATTACTGGGCAAAATGTTTTATTATAAAACCTCACTCTAGTTGATTTCGGGAGGCCTAATATAACCCCTAAGGAGTTGAACGGAGTTTCTGGGATCTGTCCCTGGGTGATCCTTATGCGAATAGTGGTACTTTGTGTCACTGGGTGTTTATCGCCCAGTCTGGTAGGGTTGAATGTCAATCAGTTTTTTGGAGACCAGAAGTTGATTTATGTGGCAGTCAAAAACTAACACAAGCAAGAAGGCTGCTTTATGTCTTAAATAAGCATTTTTTTTTTTTTACATAACATCAGTGTGATTTTTTGTTTCCATGGGATAATAATAAGTATGCCTGTTTACCAAGACTGGCTTGGGTTTAGTTGGGAGTAGTGACATTACTTGAGTAGTTCTACTAACTCTACAATACTGTCCTGCAGTACCTTGCCAGTACTGTCCTGCAGTACCTTTCCAGTACTGTCCTGTAGTACCTTGCCAGTACTGTCCTGCAGTACCTTTGCCAGTACTCTCCTGCAGTACCTTGCCATTACTCTCCTGCAGTAGACCCATCCTCATAAAATGAGAAGTGAATAGTTCTCATAACTGTCCAGATAGTGTGTAGTAATAGTGGAAAGGAAACCAAGAACTCTGCCTCATGCCATTATCTAGTGTTTGGGAGCACTAGAACCTAAACTGGGGAAGGGGCTTCCCCCATCATGTATAAGTTCTCTTTTAAGTTTTTGCTTTTATACATCATATTTTATGAAATATATTATTATATTTATTTCCCATTCATCGTCATCATATTATTATTCACTTAAACAAGAGTATATTTTTTAAGAGCCCCATCCCCTCCCAGTTTCTTTTTCCAGTTGTTGTTTGTGTCAGTGCTGTTAGTTATTTATGTAGCTCTAACACTTCACACCCCACACAGTAATATCTGTCATGACTGTAACCTGACCAGTAAAATCAAGACTGATATTTTGATGTTTTTTTTTTTTACAAGCTATCAAGCGCCAGGAACTACGGATATTGTATGGACTGGTGTTGCAGAACAGAGTCAGGGCAGACAGACTGGTTCCAAGAGAAAATCAGCAGCGCTAAAGGATGTAAAAACAGCGGCATCAAAGCCAAAGTGGAACACAAGGGACAAAAAAGATGGCAGTAAAGCACCCAGAAAACAAACAAGCAGTAAGAAATCGGATACTGCATCATGA